GGCCAGGCCCGGGGTAGGTAAGTCGGGGTGGACACCGTGTCGGAGGCCAGGCCACGGCGCGGAGTCTACCGGACCGCCGGGAAGCTAACTCAGGAACATCTCTGGAACATCTCTCGGTTTAATAAGAGCAAGGCAAGGCCAGAAGTGGCCACTCACCCTGTGTTCTTTACTATCCTCCCTTCCTCCTCTTCTCGATCGCGCACCGGCCGTAGAATAAGTACCGCGAAACCCGCGAACGCGTTCCTCCGCCGAACCGCGAACACCGCGACGTGTTCCTCCGCCGAACCGCGAGCACCGCGACGTGTTCCTCCGCCGAACCGCGAGCACCGCGACGTGTTCCTCCGCCCGCACCGCGAACGCGTTCCTCCGACCGACCCGCGAACTCCGCAAGGCGCTCCTCCGACCGAACCGACCGACCGAACCGCGAGCGCCGCGTCGGACTTAGAGATAAGATAGATTGTAAGAATAGGTAGGCATAGTATATAAGCGCGTAGCATGTAAGCGTAGTATGTAAGACTATATTGTAAGCGTTAGTTATAAGACCCGCGCCGCCACCGCCGCCATATTGTATTAACGATCGCGTCTAACACCGATATTTGTACATTCTAGAAACCGAAGACTGTAGCAGACGAACCGGCGACCACCTCCCCGTCCACGGCGGATCCTAATAATAATAAATAGATATAGTTAGAGCTAAACCGTGTGTTCTCTATTGTACCCGCGACCAGTCCCCTTCCTTCCGCGATCGGCCCCCTCGCGTCGACCCTGGCGCGCTGAAGCGTCCGGCACAAGGGGGCCAGTGGGCCGCGTACTCCACCGCGCTGCCTAGCAACGCGGGTGGAGGAAACGGCTACGTTACAAGCTGTTAATTGAGAGTTAAACAACTGACAGTACATATAGTACGATACACTAAAAGCGTCTTTGGAAGTATCCTCAATACTCTAATCCGTTAACGTACTGTCCAAAAATCAGTATTATATTAGGGAATCACCCTTCCCGACCAAAAAATTGATGGAAATTATTTTAGAGTGCCATCCTACACTATAGTATTATCCATTTACTTTTAATAATATGATAGTATAAGTTTCTTGCACTAGATGTTTTGTCGTTTGACGTTGCCTGTCCTACTATGTATTTCTAATGGTAATAAGTACTTATGTTGAAGTATTGCCAGTATTATCGTTATTATCCTAATCTGTGCACTATATGCATCTTAATCTGTCCGCAAAAATGCACGTTGATATTTTACTGAGGTTTGGGGTAAAATGCAACTCCCATGGATATATTTTGTCACTGTTACGGCCTACTCGCGTAAAGGTAGGCAACTTCCTTACCATATGCCAACGATCCCCCTCCCAGGTGACGTAGGGCCCTACGTCACCTGGGAGGGGGATCGTTGGCATATGGTAAGGAAGTTGCCTACCTTTACGCGAGTAGGCCGTAACAGTGACAAAATATATCCATGGGAGTTGCATTTTACCCCAAACCTCAGTAAAATATCAACGTGCATTTTTGCGGACAGATTAAGATGCATATAGTGCACAGATTAGGATAATAACGATAATACTGGCAATACTTCAACATAAGTACTTATTACCATTAGAAATACATAGTAGGACAGGCAACGTCAAACGACAAAACATCTAGTGCAAGAAACTTATACTATCATATTATTAAAAGTAAATGGATAATACTATAGTGTAGGATGGCACTCTAAAATAATTTCCATCAATTTTTTGGTCGGGAAGGGTGATTCCCTAATATAATACTGATTTTTGGACAGTACGTTAACGGATTAGAGTATTGAGGATACTTCCAAAGACGCTTTTAGTGTATCGTACTATATGTACTGTCAGTTGTTTAACTCTCAATTAACAGCTTGTAACGTAGCCGTTTCCTCCACCCGCGTTGCTAGGCAGCGCGGTGGAGTACGCGGCTCACGGGCCCCCTTGTGCCGGACGCTTCAGCGCGCCAGGGTTGACGCGAGGGGGCCGATCGCGGAAGGAAGGGGACTGGTCGCGGGTACAATAGAGAACACACGGTTTAGCTCTAACTATATCTATTTATTATTATTAGGATCCGCCGTGGACGGGGAGGTGGTCGCCGGTTCGTCTGCTACAGTCTTCGGTTTCTAGAATGTACAAATATCGGTGTTAGACGCGATCGTTAATACAATATGGCGGCGGTGGCGGCGCGGGTCTTATA